GACCCTACCATCACTACTACTGCTGAGCCCACCACTACTACTGTGGCTCCCACTACCACCACCACTGGTGAGCCCACCACTACTACTGTGGCGCCCACCACCACTACGACTGCTGAGCCCACCACCACTACTGCTGAGCCCACTACGACCACCACTGCTGAGCCTACCACTACTACTGCTGAGCCCACCACTACTACTGTGGCGCCCACCACGACCACCACTGCTGAGCCCACCACGACCACCACTGCTGAGCCTACCACCACCACCACTGCTGAGCCTACCACCACCACCACTGCTGAGCCTACCACTACTACTGTGGCGCCCACCACGACTACCACTGCTGAGCCCACGACCACCACTGCTGAGCCCACCACGACCACCACTGCTGAGCCTACCACTACTACTGTGGCGCCCACCACCACTACTACTGCTGAGCCCACCACGACCACTACTGCTGAGCCCACCACCACCACGACTGCTGAGCCCACCACCACTACTGCTGAGCCCACCACTACTACTGTGGCGCCCACCACGACCACCACTGCTGAGCCCACCACCACTACTGCTGAGCCCACCACTACTACTGTGGCGCCCACCACCACTACGACTGCTGAGCCCACGACCACTACTGCTGAGCCCACCACTACTACTGTGGCGCCCACCACGACCACCACTGCTGAGCACCACTACTACTGTGCGCCCACTACCACACTACTGCTGAGCCTACCACTACTACTGTGGCGCCCACCACGACCACCACTGCTGAGCCCACCACCACCACCACTGCTGAGCCTACCACCACCACTACTGCTGAGCCTACCACCACTACCACTACTGCTGAGCCCACCACCACTACCACTGCTGAGCCCACGACCACCACTGCTGAGCCCACCACGACCACCACTGCTGAGCCTACCACTACTACTGTGGCGCCCACCACGACCACTACTGCTGAGCCCACCACTACTACTGTGGCGCCCACTACCACTACTACTGCTGAGCCTACCACTACTACTGTGGCGCCCACCACGACCACCACTGCTGAGCCCACCACTACTACTGCTGAGCCTACCACCACCACTACTGCTGAGCCTACCACCACTACCACTACTGCTGAGCCCACCACCACTACCACTGCTGAGCCCACCACGACCACTGCTGAGCCCACCACTACTACGTTTACGTCGACCTCCTCGACCTCCTCGACCTCATCAACCTCATCAACCTCCTCGACCTCCTCGACCTCCTCGACTTCCTCGACATCGTCTACCAGCCGAACGTCCACCCGCGTTGACCTGGACATCATTTGTTACCACCCCACCAATCAAGATGCACTCCGATCTGTTATTCCCGGCATGTACATCCTGGATGGCTTTTTGTCAATCACTTCTGGTTGCAAGGCTACACCAAGCTTTCTGGCCGAGTTCCACGACCTTCGAGATGTCCTGGGTGACGTTAGCTTTGATCGTAACCACCTTGTGTCAAACTTCAGCGGCTTTGAAAGCCTTGAGTACATTGCTGGTTCATTCAGCATCGAGTCAATGAACAGCCTTGAGACACTGGACGGCTTCAACGGAAGTATGCTCACTGTGACTGGAGATTTGACTATCAGTGGCCTTCCATTGTTGACTTCTCTTGCGGCTTTGAACGGTATCACAGTTAACGGTCAATGCTTGATTGATCCTGCTACTCTTCCTTCTTGTGTTGGCTCTTGTGACTGCGCCAGCATCGGCTTGTCCGATCCTACCACCACCACAACCGTCACCACGACCACATCCACGAGCACCACTTCCACCACGACAACGAGCACAACTACTACGAGTCTGTTGGCCCGCGCTGGTCCAGTATTTTGCAACGACCCTGCATCTCATCCCGCCGTGCAGTACCTGGTTACGAATGTTGAGGTGATTGACAGCTACGTGCGCCTTGTTTCAGGCTGCGAAATGACCGACACAGTGTTTTCGTACTTCCAAGATTTGAAGCACGTCGGGAGCTACATGACTCTCAACGGCCAGCCGAGCATCACCAGTCTTGAGCCCCTCGCAGCGCTCAGCAGCACTCAAACTCTCACCATCTCCGACATGGCTGGGCTTACCAATCTGAGTGGCTTGGATGCAACTCGTTTGGTCATTGATGGCGACTTGAAGATCACCAATAACCAGAATCTTGAGTCAATTGCCGCGCTCAACGGTGTGGTCATTACCGGAACTTGCATGATCGCCAACAATCCTGCCTGCGTTGGATGTACCTGCGGTAGCATTGGGCTTGCAGAGTTTACCACGAGCACTTCAACGACCTCAACGACCTCAACAACCTCGACGACCTCAACGACCAGCACGTCGACCACCTCAACCACCACTCTCAACCCGACGTACACCGGTGATGTCCTGTGTCGGTCTAGCACACAACTCAGCGAAGCTGCTGCGACCATTGCCGGCCGTTACCACATTGATGGTTTCGTTGCCTTTTCCAACGGCTACTCAGGCTATACCTGTGATGTGGATGAGTCTTCTCTTGCCTCCATGACGACCGTGGGTCAAGTTCAATCGCTCGAGATTCGCGGCAGCACCAACTTGGAGACGATGGACGGGCCTGACGTTTTAACAACTGTTGACTTTGGACTTACCATCCGCGGCAACTCTGTTCTGAAGAATCTGAGCGGTCTGGACCTGCTCTCCAGCGTCGGCGGGGACATGACAGTTCAAAGCAATGCCATGTTGACGAGTTTGACCGGCCTGGGTGGGCTTACCTCTGTCGGGGGCCAGCTGGCGGTCCAGTCCAACAATGCATTGACGACCTTTGCTGGCACAGAAGGCCTCACCAGCGTTGACTTTTTGCTCATCACCAACAACCCACTTTTGACCGAGATTGATGCACTCTCTTCGCTGACTCAACTTAATACTGTGTACATCTTTGGCAACAGCCAATTGGCCCACGTGGATGGCTTGGTCAATGCTGCTGGTGTTACTGACTGCTACATTGCCCTCGACAACGCCTGCGATTCGGTAACACACAAGTGCACTTGCGCTGACCTTGGCTTTGCCTAGGCTATTTCATTCACTGTACTTGTTGCCGAGCCTGTTCGAGGCTCTGCAGTGTTGTATATTCTCTTTCCAAAGTACCTGAATAAAGCTCAAGCAATCTCGTCAACATTTTCTTTTTTTTCTTTGTTGTTCTTAATGTACTGAATTTTTTCCCCTCTCATCTGGGTGCGGCGTGAACACGCGCCCCCGACGAGCGGATAAGCAGACAGGTTGTATCAGTCAGAGAGCCAGCGTAATTGATGAATGAATTTTTAATGCGCCATGTCCAATCAGTCAGTTTTAGCATCGACCAGCCCCGCAATTCACACGACCATTTACACCCACGCACACACGCACACACGCACACACACACACACACACACACCCCACATTCCCACATAGGATGGTATCGAGGATCATCTACATGTATTTGAGGGACGAGGCTGCACAAGTGTGTGCTTTGGATATTGTGGCATGAGACCCTCGCTGCTACCTGGAACGAACGATGCGGATGAAGATGCTGTCTGCGACACGGGCGACTCTATTGGCCCATGACCATCTGACGCATCATCCCATCCTTCAAAGTCAAGCTGCTCTGCGGTGAGCAACTCCCCCTTGTGAAGACGAGACAAGGTGTGAGCACGTCGAGGCGTGGAAGCATCAAATGCGTGCTCGTATTGTGATGACTTGCCAATGGCATCGGGTTGCCTGTGTACATTGCCGACTGAATGACAGGCTCCGTAGATATTGGCGGCTGAGGAGCGTTCAGCGAGCGACCTAACGGGCTGTCCGGGTGCCTTGAGTCTGTCACTGCTGACGCTGCGCTTTCGGACGGGACTCTGGAAGCGCTGGCTCGAGCCTGGTGGCAGAGCATACCAGTCGAGAGGCCTAGAACTGCTGTTGACTTGCAGAAAGTGAGGCAATGTGCCTTGTTCTCGAGCCTCTTTTGACGTCCGACGTCGGTGTTGTCGGTCCATTGCATCTTCAAGCCGCACGGCACGCTGTTGCTCGTGCAGTGCGCGTGTGCGTGCGTCGTGAAGCTCAGCGCGCAGCTCCGCAATCAAGTCAAGAAGACGCCGCTTGTCAGAACGAAGCAAAGTGGATGACCATTCCGGCTCAACGTAAGAATCCGACGTGTTGAATTGACTAGGCTTTGCTGTGGTCTTGTCTCTTGGGTGGGATCGAGCTCCAGGCACCCGGGGTCTGTCGTTCAATGGCGACGTAGCACGCTGACTATGGGCGTCCGTGGGCTGGATCTCAACTTCTCCTTCCTGAGCAGAGGCCAGCGCCCTGGAGGGAAGGCGAATCGTTGCTGCTGAACTACCATGACTAGTTATGATGCCCTTTGCACACGTTTTTTGAGGAACATACCACTCTGTGGGTGTCACCACGGTCGTCCACTCACTCCTTGAGGCTTGTGGCACTTGTTCGCCAACACGAGCCACAGCGTTTGGGATGTCCTGTGCAGAGCCCTGGTGTTTCTGAAGGCTGCCTGTACGCTGCCGCGAAGGAGAATGTTGTTGTTGGTGCAGCTGCTTCTGCGAACCCATTTGTTCCATGCGTTGCAGTGCGGCACGCAAGGCTTGTACTTCTCCTTGAGATTCTCTGAGCTGGTTATAAAGCTCAATGATGTGCTCGCCTTGCTGCGCCATGGAGCTGCGTGAAAGCCGCTGTGTAAGGGCACCTCTACTCTCAGAGTTGACGATTGCTTCTGAGAGCGATGGGCGAGCCGAGGAAAGCTGGCTAAGGCTGGGCACGGATGTCATAGATGGTGCACGAGACGTGCCAGGTTGAGAAGCAATCGCTGTTGACAGCGCATCGTCTGCATTCGCCAATTGATGGAGCAGCTCGCCTTCCCGCGTAGCATGCCGCTCAATGTCTCGTTGAAGCTCCAGAGCCAGATCTTTCTGCTCTAAATTGATATTGAGGTTGCCATCTTCTGACTTCATGCGCACAGCCTGGGTTGCAGAGTCGTCAAATGGCTCGGCGCGTTTTGGTACGGGGTCAGTGAAGGTCGCAGTCAAATTCTTCCTTGGCCGATGCTCCGTATCTAATTGCGTCAGTTGTCGTTCCAAGCGATATCGTGCTTCGCGCTCGCGCTGCAGCTCCGCCAGCAAGTCCAAACCATACGCCGGCCAGACCAAGGCACTCGCGTCTGTGGAACGTGCGAGTGCCGCCCGATGCTCCAGCTTCTGTATGGCTTGTTCCATCAGTTCACGGGTTGTTGACTGCCAGTCCAGCACATCGGCTTGCAGTTGGGCGGCCACGGTGGAGAGGGCGTTAAGGTTGACGCGAGCCTTCTGGAGGATAATAACCTGGCCATACACACCAGTCGATGAGGAGCTGGCGGTCAAGTTCGTTGCGGCCGAGGATGGGCGACTTTGCGCGAGCCGTTGCTGCTGAGCACGCTGCGTTTCAAGTTCTCGAATACGGCGGCTCCACTCATCGGTTAATTGACGACGGGCGTGCTCATGTGCCAATTTTAACATATCGATCTCCCGGCGGTGAGCTTCCTGATTTTCGCGCAGCTCGCGGCGTGCCTGTTGCAAAAGAGCTTCAAGCTGCTCGACTTGCTCCAACGCAGCGCGATCCTCTTCTGTATGGTCAGCCAAGACCTGCTGGTGTACGGCCTGTAAGCTCCTCAGCTGCTCTTCTAAGTCACATATTTGTTGCTGGGCATCGTGGAGGTCACCCTGGGCCTTGTCCCGTTCCAATATGACAGCATCCAGATTCGCTTGCGCGGCGGCCAACATATCAGTCTCAGTGCTCGGGGCCACAGCCGGCATGGTCTCACCATTGAGGTCAGCAAGTTGCTCTTGAAGCATGTCGCGCTCGTGGCGCAATTCCTGAAGCTCCATAGAATAGCGAGCAGAGAGGTCACGCAAGTCGCGCTCGCTGCAAGCCTGCAGTTCACGGTAGTCGTGAGCCAGTCGCTCCAGCTGGTCGGGAAGGGCCTCTGAAACCCGACCTTCGCTGATACTGGGCAAGCGACCACTGTTCTGTCGCTCAAAGACTGGCGAGCCGGCATATTGGCAACGCCCAATGTCTTGCTCAATGGCATCCAACTCATCCAGCAATTCATGTGTGGCGGCCGAGTCACAGTGTCCGTCTTGGAACAGGTTGGATGACCGGCGACACCAATCACGAAGGCGACCAAAGGCGTCGTGTCCATGTGGGGAGGCCAAGGGGTGATCCAACCGGTGCACATATTGATCCTGTGTGGATGACTCAAACAGTGAGGTGGGGTTTGGGTTCAGTTTGCCGCCATGGCCCCGCAATGCCATTGGCGTGTGCAAAAAAAAAAAAAAAAAAAAAAAAAAAAAAAAAAAAAAACACAACGAGCATGGAATAAAGGGTGATCAGGCGATGACCAAGCTTGACTCACGTGCAGGGTGGATAGGCGGTGATTATAGTTCTTCATGTCTTGGTCAAGAGCGGCACTGGAAGCAACAGCACCCTTTAAGACCTGGCGCAAACGCGCATTCTCTGAGCGGAGGACTTGGTTTTCCTTTTGCAAATCCTCGACATCTTGTGAATATGTATCCTCGAGGTGATCAGTTTGCTCTCGAATAGCGAGTTCTCGAGTTTCAGCCTGATGTGCAATCTGTTCCAGGTCCTTCCGCATGTCCAAGACTTGGTCTTGAAGGGAGGAATTGGCGCTGACAAGGGCTCGAATTTCCGCGCGAACCAGCAGATCGGGCGAGACCACGTTGCCGTGAACGGTAAAGTGGGATGCAAAGGCGGCACAGAAGCAATCAAAGTCGAGATCTGCCTCTTCACTGCAACAGACCGTCCCGAGGAGCGGAAAGCAAGGGCCGGGTGAGGGCAATGTTAGGAAGGGCAATGACGATTCGTTGCAGGGCTCACCTTTTGCCAAGCTGAGCAAAGATATCATCAACGGCGATTGGGGCAAACTCAAAATGCTTGGTCTGGGAAGGGCTGAGACCATAAGCAGCAAGCAGGCTATGGTCGTTGATGAGGCGATATATGTCAGCACGACTGATGCGATTGGGCTGAGATTCATGCGCTGCTTGCAGAAAAATCTCCCACATGGCCTAGGATCGTGGAAGAGTTGGGATGCCGGGGTTAGACGGGATGATCCCGAAGGTAGATCGTGGGATGATGGCGATAAAGTAGCAAACAAAAGAGATGGTGCGCAGGTAGGTGCCAGCGTGTTTTCAAGACATACCCGTCGCTTATCAAAGTCCATGGCGTGCACTTCTGGAGGTGCATCCGGTTGGGGGGCGGGGGGCAGCAGACCATGACTGGAGCGGCGGCTAAAAAGGCGAGCATGAGCAGAAGTGCTCGATTCGCTGTCGGCTCTTGACAAAAAGGTCGAACGCGCCTCGCCCCTTGTGGCCGAGCTGCGACGAGAGGAGCGCTGCGAGGTATGCTGAGATTTACATCGAGGCAGGCGGAAGGGGAGGGGCCCGGGGTGGCGAGGTGGACAAGGTGTTTGGGAGGGCGGGCGTTCGTACCGCGGAGACCATGTGGGGCAAGTTTTGAGCGGCGCTGTTCAGAAAGTCTCGCGCAGACACATGCCCCTGGTGTGTGACGTCGAGGTCGGCCAAAATTTCCGCTGCCAAGTCGACTGCATTCTACAATTCATGCCATGGAATGGGTCCAAAGGATGGGCGGCAAGTGCACCAGGGCAAGTTGTTGAGCTGGGAGAACTGGGTAGCGACAGATGAAGAGGGGCCGTTGGTACAGCGGACTGACCGCAGCATTGGCTGTGCCTGTCTGAACGAGCAGCGCTGCCAGGGCATTGCAATCTAAAATTTGATCCTCATGGAGGTCGGCCGCGGAGAAGAGCTGCGAAACAGTCGAGAGGCGACGCTTTGGCAAAGCCATTCTGGCGTGTTTGTGCGCGTCGGTGAAGTGGTACAGTGGGATTGAGTGCAAGGCCTGTCACATGGACAACTTGTGCAGGCATGGCCACTTGAAAGTCATGCAAATCTGACGCGTACCTTGGTCGCAGCTCGGATGGTCAGACGGAGGAAGGGAGCCGAGAAAGAAGAAGCACAGGAAGAAGAGAGAGGCTGGCGAGCAAGGCAAGGTTGGGCGCACACTCTAATCAAGGTCTCGGACAAGTCTCGCCGACGTGGCGTTTGCTCTATGGTTCATGTTCTGGACAGGCAGAGGCAAGTGGAGAAAGGGAAGAGGGAAGTGGCCATGGAAAAGGAGGGCTAATCTATCAAGAACAGATCCAGGCTCTTTGCGACGTTGCACGGGGACGGCTGGGCATCTGGTGACAGCGACAAGTAGCAACAGGGTGTCAGGGTGTGCCACTTGCAATGCACACTGCTCGGTTTGTTTTGTGAGAAGAGTCACAGCATGATTCACCAGCATCGGCAACAAGAGAGAGAGAGAGAGAGTCAGAGAGAGAAGAAGAGCCATTGTATGCAAGCAGGCATGCATTGCAGGTACATGCTGACAATAGATTTGTCTGACATGTATTGGTCTGACATTATTCTCTTTCTTCTCTCTCGCTGTCTCTCTCTCTCTCTCTCTCTCTCTCTCTCTCTCTCTCTCTCTCTCTCTCTCTCTCTCGGCTGCTGGCAAGGAGAATGGGCGAGGGGCGCGAGGCACGGAGTGCCTTGATCAAGGCGTGTGGTCAGGTGGGTCTTGGGGGCGAGGTCAGGGTGGGCTGGGCCGTCACGATCGCACTCCTGGATGAGGGATTGGCATGCATGTGGTGTACATATGTGTGTGTGTGTGTGCGTGTGCGTGCGTGGCAGTGAGTGTTTGGCTCATCGTTGGATCTACCTCTTGATCGGTCCAGCGACACCGCAAGGCGCTTAAAAAAGCACTCGATGGGGTCGAGAGGGCGCTGACACAGCCGAAATCATCAACACCGGATACTGCGTTAAAGCGAGTACGTTCATGTCCATGGCTGCAAAAATCCTCTCGATTAGGGCTCCCAGACAACACGATGGAAAACCTATCGCGTGCTCACCCCCGGTGCGAATTGGCTCGCGTCGGGGCTTGCAGTGCGTGGAGCTGGGGCAACAACTGGGCTGTGTTGAAGAAATGGCTGCAGCGCTGACTGAAATTGCACAAGCCTTTCAAGGCACTCAGCCAGCACCCGTGGCCTCCTCTGCTGCCGCTGCTGCCGCTGCAGCAAAGCAGCAGCCCCACTGGCAACACGACCTGGCCTTGGACAGTACCAAGTGTGTGCGCACTTCCCCCACTGAGCTCCCGGCCCCTCATCCCGCTAGTTGGCACACGCACCATCCACCACACAAACAACTTTTTTTTTTTTTTTTTTAAATTTTGCCTTTGTTGCCGACTAGTCCTCGCTACGCCCACGTCTCCCAGCTCCTGACAGAAGCTCCTGACGTAGCGGAATACGCCCACGGCCTAGCGCTGACGCTCCAACGCCAGCACTACGTTGTTGTTGACCGCGTCCTTGATGATCATGTGCTGCGCCAATTCATTCACGAGGTGTGCAGTCGGTTGAGCACTTTCCTTTTCCCTGGTGTACATCTGGTGCTCATTCGCATTAACGCTCCCTCGGTCACGTGGCCGCAGGTCAAATCTGCTCACCGTGACGGCAACCTCAAGCCGGGGCAGCTGGCAGGTGGACGAGCGGGTGCAAACACCAAATATGTCCTCGGGCATGTTCGCGGTGATCAGGTTTGTGATTAGCCCTGCAAGCCGACAAAAATTCTACCACACACGTGACGCACTGCCGTGTGGCATGCCATCATGGCCCGAAGGAATGCTCAGGACTAATTGCCCCTGCTTCCTTCGCTTGAACTGCGGCACGCTTTTAGGTTGGATGGTTCAATCAGGATCCCTGTCACGATTCAAGTTCTGGGCGCGCTGAACTCGCCATCACAGAAGAGACGGCTTCCGATCCCACGCCCACAACAGAAAGCGCTCAAGCCGACCGTAGTCAACCACGCTGCTGGCAGGGATCCGGTCTCCGCGCCTTCACCAGTCGCATGAACACGCTCGTGCAGCTCATTGCCGCGTTCGTACCCGAGCTTCAGCGAATCGAGTCGCGTTCCGAAGCCATGATTACTTGCTATCCCGGCAACAGCACCCGCTACATTCGCCACTGCGACAACCCGCACCGTAATGGCCGCAAGCTTACCGTCCTCTTTTATCTCAACGAAGAGTGGCAACCCGGGGATGGTGGTGAAGTGCGCCTCTTTGTGACCCCGGACGAACATCAACACGCTGCAGCCCCCGCAGATAGTGACGATGAGACGGAAGCCTCGGCATCTCCCACTCCCTCTGGTAGTGTGGAGCAGGCCGTCACCATCCCTCCTCGAGCCAACACCATGGTCATATTTTTTTCGGACCGCCGCGTACCTCATGAGGTGCTACCAACAAACGTGCCAAGGTTTGCTGCCACGCATTGGTTCTATGATGCTGATGAACGCGCAGAGGCCGAAGCTTCGGCCGGCACAGCGTTTGAGTTGGATCAACAGGTACCATATGTCGTGTCCCACAAATCCATCGCCAATCAAGCCGTCATTCCCGCTCCCATGGCTTCTTGCCCTACCCTCAAACGATCGCATGGGCCAGTGCGCGCGTATTCATACAACAGACGGCCTGGGCCTCACTTTCTTGAAATAATGCCTGCTTTTATGATGGTTGTGAGAACAGATTGAAGAAGAGCGAATTCGACGTGAGATTGAAAAGTTCGAGGCCACTCAGGCACAGGCCCAGATGGTTCCTGCGAAAAATCAGGTGAACAGCCCAAGAGACGAGCCAATGGCCAGTGACGTCATTGCTGCCGCTGCCACAGGCGGCGCGTCTCATAATAAGCCAGCCATGACTGCCGCGACTACGGCAGCAGCATCCACCACCGCAGATTTGGGTATGACGTCTGACAGCGGCCGCGACGAAGCCACACCCGTGTCCGCCCCGGTTGGCAGCCCTATCGAAAGCGCATCGGACAGTCCGGGGCACACTCCGACAGCCTGGTCCCATCGCGTGCAAAAAAGCGACGACGCCCTCATTGTGCGCGTGGACACCGATGGTTTGCCCGTTGAGGTTCATGTGGACAACGAGCAGTATATATCTATAACCGTCAAATCTCAAGCACCAGGAACTTTGAGCACGCGCAGCCCCCTAGTGCTAGATGCCAAAGCCCTGGGTATGGACGCGACGACGCTATCAGTGAAACATATTGCCAAATCAGGCGTCATCAAGCTGAAGGCCCAGGCTTTGAGGCCTGGAAACACATGAAGAAAAACTCGATTGATTAACATGCTACCAACAACAAGGTAAAAGAGCCAGTGCGCGCAGCGCAACAATTCATCCGTGACAACTCGAGGCTCCCATGATTGGTCAACTCACTCACGGAGAGGGCATCCAAGCCTGGATCTGCCGTTCAAAACAAGCGCAAAAGGGTTGAAAACGAAGATGAGAAGCGTAAAACAAGCATGCAAACAAAAGCCAGAGTCTGCATAGACTGTGTTTACCTTGGCATTTGCACTCCGCAACAAATGCATGAGATTGCTGTGTTGGGCTGACTGGGCCTTGCCAAGCTCCGCAAAATCGCTCAAAGTAAAGCAACTAGGCTTTTTTTCAAGGTCAAAGAGGTACTCATGGCCATAAAAAGCACGGTCATGCGCGAGTTCGTCTTGCGCCTTGATCAGTTGCCCCTTTGATTTTGCCTGTTGGGAGTAGGAGATGAGCTGTTTTGAATCGGTGCAGCCATCGACACACCAATCAACCTCAACTGAGACCATGCTTTTGGGCAGCTACCCAAATGCGCCTACAAAACCTTAGAGAAACAAGTGCGTCGGCTGTTTCATTTCCGAGTTGCGTGCTCACCTGGTCAAGAAGGTCGTAGAGCTGTTTGCGTAGGCGTACACATTCTTCCAAGGCTGGCAGCATCTTTTCTTTGGATTGGGCCAATTGTTGAAGAATCCACTCTGGCAACTATATGATACCATCAAAGACCACATGCGGACGACGCTGAGCAAAAAGCCAAAAAAATTCCAAACGAAACCCAAAAATAAACCTAAAAGCAACAAACTAGACACAAAGCAGAATAGACGCGACCCCGACCTGCACAGAGTTGAGTTCTTTCAGACCAGGCGATTTGTTGATGTCATCTACGTCGTAGAACTTTTTCTGTGAAGAAAACCAAGCCCACAATGATGTCAGCAGCCTCCTTCAGCAAAAAAAAAAAAAAAAAAAAAGAGAGTCATAAACCCAGAATCTTCCCATATCAGCGAGGAAGAGCACAAACCATTTGGAGCAAGCCCAGAGCGGCAGCAGCTTTGTCGGACACGGGTAACGAAGTGAAGTCACAGAGATTGATCGCACGTGCCGGAATGATCTTGAAGGTGGAGACGATATCGGCAAGGCACGCCAGCAACTTTGTGAGTGGATGGCTTGGCAAAATAACGATGGGGCGTTGGCAAGTCTGATTGCAAGCTGGGTTGGTGTCAGCCAATTTACCTCCCGGTTGCCACGCTGGCACACATGACAATAAATGCGCCCAGTAAAAAAGCACACTTGGGCAGATTGCTGCCAATCATTGTCGGTGGCCACAATGTCGTTGCGACAGGCAGCGCAGCGTCGGTCTTGGGCTTCCAACAGTTGATTCACTGCCTCAAAATCGAGCTGCTTTTCGTCCTGCACAAATTACATTGACGCCCCATGAGCAACCGCTGGCGGCCTGGCAACGGTTGCGACAGGGCTACGGGCCCGAATACCTTGACATGGAGCAGCGACTTGGCTAGGTGGGGCACTTGAGCGTCGGCCCATTTACACAGTACGTCGATGTCAATGTCGCAAAACATCTCGTCCTCTGCCTCGTTCTCATGGTCATCCACGCCAAAGGACACGGTGCGATGGACTAGGAGTGGCGCGCCATTTTACAAGTCATCATCACTCATTCATGCACAGGCAAGAAGCGTGGCGCCGCTGCCTACCTGAAGGCTCTGAATTTGGCTCTGAGTTTGAGTCGTTGTTTTCATGTAAGAAGGCCAGTAGTTCCGCATCCAAATGTGCCGGAGTCATAGCATCAGCCACGCCAGCATCCATGACAGCCTGGCCGTTAAGATAGGTGCCGTGGCGAGGGTTATAGAGCTCGTACTTCTCGAGTGTGGCTGGCAGATCCAGCAGATATTGGAATACAGAGTTGAACGCATCAGTCAAGGTTTCCACGACGTGAGTGGTGAACAATGTCCGAGACAGGCTATGCGAGCGCATAGCCATCTCCCCCTCGCCTATTTTTGAGTCAAATTTGGCGCCCAAAGGGGTGATGCATCTTGTAAGCAAAGGAGTGCCCGTCGTTCAATAATCGTGACGAAAACAAAAAACAAATAAAAACAAAACGAAACAAAGCAAAACAAAAACAAATGGAACAAGCTCGGTGCCAGCCTGGAGCGGTTGGACAGGAAGCCTTGCCTGTGCGCGCACACTGGCGCTTCCAGCGGCGGGTGCGGACAAAACGCATGTATGTGCGTTGATCGACAAAGTCCCCGCGGAAAGAGTAGCTGTATTGCCAGCCCTGCACAGTTCCGGGGGAGCGATGAGGTCGGTCTAAATAATCACGGCCATACTATTCGTACCAACCTCATCATCGACGGCAGCATGTGTATAGTCCACCTTCCAGTCATCGCACCACTCATAGTGCAAGTCAGGCGCCACCTTTCACACACCCAAGCGAATCGCGAAATGAGGGTGGGTCACACCAACGCTGACGACTTCAAGCTCAACGATAGCATCTCTTGTCGCGTGCAACAAACAACAATTGTTTCAAGACAGACCTCAGAAAGGGATTGACCACAAAATAAACCTTGGATCGTTGCAAACGGTGGCGGATCGTGAAAAACAAGATGCTTCGAGCTGTAAACGGTGCATAAAGGACGACGCCGCTGGTTCTCGACAACGACAATCGTCTAAACATGGGTATAACAGCGCAGCCAGCGAGCAAACAAAGCGCGTGTGAGTCCAGGGCAGGTGAGGTTGTAGTCGGGTGCACGAGCCTTCGTAGAAAGGGACGGCAAATGGGTAAACGATCTCACCTTGACCTCCAAGTTTTTTTGTTCAACCCATTGTTGGACCTCCCGCTGTCGAGCAGTCAAGCGCTCCAGGTCTTCGCTGGTGATGGCAACAAATGCAGTTGATAGAGCATCCGACTTCTCCTCCGGTGCCAATACTTCAGAGTCTTGCTCGGTGGCTGTCAAAGCTTCGTCAATGAGCGCACCGGAAACGACTTTGTTGTCTTCCAGGACAGAAGTGTCGGCGCTGGCAAGATCCTCGGAAGCTACGACGGGCTCCTCTTCGTACGGTACTTCAGGGCCTTCAAGAGCCTCGGGAGCATGTTCGGAAGTTTCGGCAGGCTCCTCAGCGGAAGCCACAGTCTGAGCCTCATCTCGAGGTGTGGTTTGTTCCATGGCATCAGACGCAACCATGTTGTCAGGGGGTCCTGCCGACATTAATGAGCACGGCGGGCACAGCGAATCTCGATCGACCTCTGAATCATCTCGTGCTGCACTGAGACTGTGAACGTTATCCATGAGGAGCTCGGCGGCTGCCGGGACAATTGAATCGGAGACTGCGGCGACATGGCCAACACTGGGTTCGGTTGCCGTCAAGTTCTCATCGGCTGTCGAGTTCTCATCGGTTGTCACGTCGGTGGGCATTGCTGTGCTGTCGGGGCATGAGAACAATGAGGTCTGCTCAGGTGCCACCACTGTGGTCACCTCTGAAGCAGGCGTGGTTGCTGAGGCTGCGGGTTGAGGCTCAGACAATGGGGTATGAATCAGCGCTGGGCTGGAGGGACTAGCGGTGGCGCTGTCAGCCTTTGGCTTGCGGTGCGGGGCCGAAGAACGCTTTGCCTTCCGTCCCTTGTCTTTCTTCTTGAGCTTGAGTAGTTGCGGTTGGCCGGGCAGCAAGGTGTCCTCGCGACGCCGATTGAAAAGGGGTTCGTCTGAGAGTTGGGGCTGAAGTCTCGTGTCGCGCATTTCAGCTACAGCGGGCATGTCAATCGGGGCGGCTGTCGGTGGCTGGTCGGTGACTCGTGCCAAGGCATGACGGTGCGCCGCCATGGAAAAAACAACTGTGGGCCATCCAGCAGGGCGGAGGTGAGGCCAAGCACCGTTGATCGTCCCTTGCTAGGTCGGCGTGGGAAGGTCAAGCAGTCAGCCAAACGGACGGGAAGAGGTACCTTCGACGAGCCAGTGCAGGATCATTTCACGGGCAGTTTGCTGTTTTAAAAAGGCCTTGGGTGAATAGGCCCTCGAGTCTTCAATGGCGGCGAAGACCGGGGACAGGACTTCATACTTTTGGAGCATCAGCGATGCACACGCCTAAGCTCCAACAAGGTGAGAGAGACTGAGATGAGCGAGCCAAAGTGAACTTGGGCTGTTGCAGAGCAGCCCCATCACAGACCTTGCATGGGTTTGGTTCAGACAAAGGTTCTGCAAGAGCAGGTACAGTTTTGAGAACCGCGATAAAGGCTTTACTGGCGGCCTTGTGGCCTGCACCCCAGAGAGGCTTGGGGTAAATGATGCCATGCATACAAATCTTGAGGAGATTGCCTTGGATGCGCCCGTCATTGTGCAGGAAATGATCCATGCGCAAAGCTGCACTGGGATTCTTGATGGCTTGCGCATACTGCAAGCGAATCGTCATTTAAGAAACCCGCGTGAGGAGGTGCAGGTCTGCGTTGAGCATTCTTCTTTTCCATCTCCCGCATGGGAGACGTGAAGTGAGCGGTTGCAGCTTACCGCTCCCACGGAGGACGTGAGGTCGATGACCAGCTGTCGATATTGCGGCTCCTAGGACAGGGGTAAACCAGAGCGCACGAGTGAGGTTCCACGGGTTGACGACTTTTTTTTTCTTCTTCCGGCTGCTTGCAAGACGAACCAGCTCGCGAATTCGGTTCAAGGGGTCGCGGGGATCCAGCGGCTCGACCGCGGCAGCACCCGCCCTACGCAAGGTCATGTAAGGGGCGCCAGGTGAGTTAAGTGGCTTCAATACAAGGGTATTCTGACGCGCATCGGCCGGCATGCCCGCTCTAGCGCTTGCGTTGCCATCGAAAGCATGCCAGCACTGCCGTCCATCCATCAACTTACAGGGACGAGGCTATCTCGTCACCCGGGTGCATGACGCGCAAGCTGCCACGTTCATGGCCACTGCCCGGTCTTGCTACCGATGATGATGATGCCACCCCTTCCACCCCTGCCATGGCCGGTATAGTGCCGCTCCTGACTCGACAGCCCAAAAATGAGCTCCGTCCAGGTTGCGCGCGCTCGTCACAGAGAGAGAGGGCGACGACGTTGACGCTACGTTTGTCGGTTTGAAACTGCTGTCATGATTTTTTAAAAGAGCAAGATGAAAGAGCTGATGAAGCAAAAATACGACTTATTGCAGTACACATGCCACGATCTATTTTGGTTTGTGAAGGAACTTAGAAAGATCGTGGTTTGCTGTTGAGTGACTCGTTTGGCGCCCCCAACTGAATTGACAATTCAACAACAGGTGTTAACAACAACCAAATACAACAGATCTTCTCAACACCTGTCTACAACGGCTTTCATTTGCTTGCCTGCATGCAGTGGCGCCTGGTCGTGCCTGGCGCTGGCGGGCATCATCATCACCTGAACCACTCACGACACATCAAGAGATGCAAGCGCAACCATAGCCCACTCCCCACAACAGGAAACAGGAAACGGGGGGCTGTGCCGTTCCCTCGGGTGGAGCGACCCGACGATTGCTGAACAGCAACTGTGGTCGGAGTCGTGCTTTGCCCATGTTCTTGCCCCAAGCTCAACTAAGCCTTTTTTTGTATTGTCCCATCAACCCAGCGCACCTCTCCGTCCCTCCCGAATCCCTGACTCACGCAACGCTTGCCTACCAACGGCGCCCGTTGCGCGGCAATCCCGTGTCAAGGCCACACAGCCTACTGTCCCCCTCACAAGGGTCATCGTTCATGGAAACGGAAAGCGAGTGCCCAATCCTTACCTCCCCCCCGTCCATCCTTGCTCGGAGGAAGCTTCACCACTTCCCGCAGCCACCACGACCTTGGTGTGCCCCATCAGCCATATAGCCCAGAGCGGGCTGCCATTCAGCTCCAAACGAGCAGCCCTTCCCGATACCTTTTATCTTTCCAGCCGTGCACGGATCTCAGCCCTTGAGTCATTCATCCTCCCTACCAGCCAGAGCATTCGCCACCCCAGCACTCCTCTCTCGGTTTGCACCGAATCATTCAAGCACCCAGATTGCTGACACACGCAGACACACACACACACAAACCTATCATTCACCCCGCCATCCGCAGCGCCTCGCACAGCCCGCACAAGTCGATGGTCCCCTCCGCGCAGTCACCTCTTCAGCTGGCTGATCTGCTCTTTCGCCAGCTGCCGGCCCTCTTCTCGCCGCACACTTCCTTCCTTGTCAAAATCAGGACCCCAGCGGCCCATCTTAGGTGTCCTCACCCTGCTCTCGGGCTGTCCGTCCACCGCCATGTTTCGGCGGTGGCGAGCGCGCCATTCCTCGCCAGCCGTCATTGCCCCGCCGCGTCCCGAGAGTCCCGAGGCTCGCACCGGCGCCGCCAAGGTAACACACATGCCATGATCTAGCTTGATGTTGTTTGTGGTGCACATTGCACCACACATTGCTGCTCATCTCACCACGCCTCCATGGCTGCATGCGCTTTGCTACTCGCAGCCTTCAGCCGCAAGCATCTCCACCCAAGACAAGGTGTGTGTGCCCCTCAGCCTTGCTCATGCTCGGCATGCCCACCAGTGGCACTCGTATGCAAACCCAGCCTCACCCTGACCGCTTCCATGTGGCCCTTGAATTATATCTCGTCTGCCATCATAGCAAACACCCCATGTCACCGTAAGCGGCAGCGCCGGCGCACCCATATCTCTGTCAACGTGCTTGCACGATCTCAAAGCCGATGCCTTACTCGCATGCTTGTCCCTCCTTTCATGACATATATCACAGTGGTCAACGCGGGACGTGGGTCGATGGCTCGAGTCTGTGCACATGTCCGAGCTCAAGCGCTCCTTCAAGGCGCATCGCATCGATGGTAATCGGCTGCTGGCGCTGCACGCCGATGACCTCACGCGGCTGGGCCTCGAGGTTGGTTTGCTCTTTCAAGGCATGCTTGTTACGTGCTCGTCCAGCCGGCTCGGTGCCTTGTATCACTGCCAATGCACAAAGTCACTTTTCCTCGCGTTCCGTGTTCCT